CTCTCTCTCTCTCCTCCTCCGTTCTTCAATTTCACGAAGCTCTTCGTCAGTGTATTCTGGCTCAAATAAATAAGGGTGGCCATCAAACTCTGCAAAATCAAATTCCTCCTCCACAAAGTCGAAGTCTGGCAAAAAGTCAGCCATTATTCTATAAATCTTTCATAAAATAAATGAATGAACTTTTCAGGCTACTGTCCGGTTCTGCCTTCCAGCTGTTGCTGCCTGTTCAGGCACACTATGAGATTGCTGCTTGTTCTCGCGATATTTCAGCCGTGCTTTGGAAAGCAGAGCTACATGGTAAACAAACATGGCAGCACACCGGTAAGGTAAGACAACACGTTTACATGTCATTTTCTATATGTTCTCTGACATTTATCCTAACGATATGAGGTGGCCTTTGTGGAAAAAAAGCTTGTTTAGTGGACTAACTTTGCACTTGAAGGTTGCCTGTTCACTTATGTTTTAACAGGTCTGACACTACTGTGCACCCCGGCTGTATCTAGGCTAACGGCTAACATGCTAACTATTATTTTTATGTCACTAGTCACTTGAAACAAATTTAGGACGATAGGAGACAGGTTGAAATAAACCGAAATTTCCCTTTAAATGAGCTTTAAGCAAGTAGTATTCAGTCTGTGCTGCTCACCTTTATCATTTCACAGTTTCAACGCACATTTACAATTACAGTGAATAAAACATGCTGAACCTCATTATGATTTTAGTATGTTGCTTCATTTTTGAGACCCCACAGAAGTGTGTGCTAAGGGTTCAGTACCTGGTTGTTGTTGAAATTTTTGCTCTGTTTCTGTCCAGCCTTACAAAGGATGAATCAAAAAGGCCAAAGTACAAGGAGCTTCTGGTAAGTTCTTTGACTGTCGTCACAAATCAATACTTCTGACTCATACAAATAAAACGAATAAAAGTCTATTTCTGTGTTCAGATCAGAAGTGTCTCCTCATGGTGCTGTCTGTGGTTCTGAAAAGACCAGTGAATTTTGAAGTAACACGACAAATGAAGTGTATACCTCACAGAGGGTGGTGTGGTGGTAGAACACAGTCTGTTGCATAATATACCATGCATAGAGTTATGAGCTACAGTAGACTCATTGACACACAGTCAGCACTGGAAAGTAAAATTATAGTTCTTTTTTCATGACATATTAGGTATTATTTAGTGTGTTCAAAAGCTTACATTTAGCTAAAGCAGTGGTTCCTAAACTCCAAGTAACTCCAAATTAGTGGTTCTTTTTGAACCTTTAACCTGTACTAACTAAATATTTTTATGTAAACAACAGAACAAATTACTGTGTTATGTGAAAAGGTTTGCCACAGTGACAACCCCACCAAGAATATTAACCCAACTCTGCAGTTCTCTGAGCTCTTCTTAGCCTTTTAGCCTCTTTTAGCTCATTGTTTTGGTTTTCCTGCACTATTAGGAAGCTGTGGAAAAGCCATGAAATATCCACTGTACACTGCTCTAGTCACTGAATTCATACATTTAGTGATAAGCTTGTGAACATAGTGAAACATCTAGCAAGCTATATATTTTCTGAGCTGGTAGTTACCAAAATGAAGCTCAAAGGAGAGTGAATATTAGACTTTGTGGGGTAATGCTACTTCCCTTTTCACAGCTAGCTTTGTATGTACATATTTTTAATGGTATTTACCATTTGTTTTTGTATATTATGTTTTTGATGATTCTGATAATCATCTCAGTGTTGTCGATAATTGTGACATTTGCCAGTCACTCATTGCACCAAGGTTAGCCTGATTTTCGGAGCTTAGCCAACATTAGGTTGCTGTGGTTCTCTACATTCTGTGCTTGGAATAGTTGCCAAAATTAAAGTGTCTGACATACACTGTCTTGCATAAGCGAGGAGTAAAGCTCCGTAGAGCTGACTGCCCTTCTCATAGACTTAACAGTGCTTTTTTACATTTTAGTAACTAGCTAGACTGGCTTATCAGCTAATTTCGCTATTTAAAGACACTGAGGTGACTATGAAAATGGTCAAAAACGCTACATAAACAAACAGTAAATACTATCAACAATATGTCAGTCGCAAAATTAACCGTAAAAAGTGAAAAAACTAACATGGATAAAAAAGCACTGTGATCACTAAGGTCGGAGGAGGAGCTAATGTTACTGTATAGTTGACAGGAAGTGAACAGACATGGAGATTATTAAACAGATCCATCACACTGCATTGCACAAGTAGACAAAAACAACACAATAATCAGTGTTGACCAGTAAGGCTCAAAGACAATTGGCAATCTGTATCGACGGCAAAAAAAAAAAAAAAAAAAAGTCCTGACAGGGTAATTTCTGTTAAATACATGTAAACTAAACTTCTCCTGGAACTCAGTTAACATATTATTGCTGTCTGTCTGAGGAACAACTATGGCTACACAAATGAATTTTGCCACCAGTGATCTTCAAACTGAGCCTGACCCTCACTGTTTCATTTCTGCAGAAACATCCTTTCATTCTGATGTATGAAGAGCGCTTCGTGGACGTCGCCAGTTATGTATGTCGCATCCTGGATCAGATCCCCGCCTCTCCCATCTCTCCCATGTACGTGGACTGATGGAGTTTGGCTGGGGGTTGGGGTGGGATGGGTGGGGTGGGGTGTGGTGGGGGGTTCACCCAACATGCAGTGGGAGGGACACTAAGCTTTGTGATGCAACGCTTTGACATCTTAGCCCTCAGAGTTACGTAGGATCACCTGTTAATTCACACGTTCCAAAGAACAAAGGAACTAAGTCCAAACAGCGTAATGAGCAGAATATTGTTAACTCTTCCAGCTCCCATCACCTCATTATAGTCAGTGAAATCTAAAATATCATCAGCCATCTTCAGCCAGAGAAACTTGAAGACATCGTCTTCGTAAAATGCAATGCATCTTTTTATGTGGGGGAAAAAGGAATAGAGTATATACTTGAAGTCGTTGTACACAAATACAGAATCTACCAAATAAAATGTTGAACAGTGACACTCATGACTTATGAACAAAAATAGCCAACTATTGAAATGTACATTGTGGACTGTATGTATGCATATGTGTGTTCACCTCTGAATTGTCGACATGTACAGATGTATGCTGATAGACCTACTGTCTAAACACACACACACTCTCTTTTCACACAGTTTGTTGTGGGCACCTTCACTCGTGGTAAATGAATGAGTATGCAAAAGCGTTTCTCTCTGGAGAGCTCATGGATTCGGTAGCGTGGCTTTACTTCTGTCTTTTTTTCAATATGCAATCTGTGAGAGTTTGTCTTGACACGTTTGGGACATATACATTTCTCACATCTAACGTTAGCCAGAGTTTGTACCTTTCATGTGTTGTCATTACGTCTGAGTCACAGAGCTAAACGTGGTTTCTTAAAAGAAAAATCCTCAACTTAGAAGATCATGCAACAGAAGTATCACACTTTAAAGTTATTTGTAGAATTGCTTTATGCCTCTTGTGACCATCTGGATCAAACAGTATTTCGTCTACTACACAGTGATTTGACTGAAAAAAAAACCCAATTTCATTGTATCCGAAAAACAAGCTAGTTCTCATTCCCAAGTCATCAAATACTGATGCTTCGAAAACCCATCAGCAGCAATACTTGGTGCTCAGAGCAACTGACGTAGTATAAAGAGCAAGAAAGTCGGAACAAAACCTGACTTTCATCTAGGAGAAAACATTTTGTGTTTTGCATGAAATCAAAAGTTAGTGTTGTTTTTTCATAGCATATCTTGTACCTATGTCCTGTGCGAAACCACAACAACCACCTACAGTGGTAGCAACTGACGTCACCCACGTAACGCTAATACGTTATGCTACATTACAAACATAACATGATCTTTTTTCTAGACCTATACAAAGTAGTGTTGCCTAAACTTAACCATGACGGTTTCACAACATTAATCATGTGCTACAGTGTTTTTCAGCTGTGCGTCACATAAAGACTCTAAAGGGTGCCCTGTGCGTCACTATGAGACGCAGAGGGCCGTGACAAAGCATCTGTACTTGACTTACCAAAACTAAGAACTGCAGGAAGTGTTGCAGGTTTTTGCTTTTTCCTAGAGATGGTCGATTCCTCCTCAGACAAACAGATGTTTAGCTCTGTCATTCAAACACAATTATAATTCATAAGATGCACAAACTGCAGCTAATGCAATGCTTCATTGCCTGATGTAAAGTTACTTTAGGACATGATATATGTCCACTGATGTAAATGTGTATGTATATAGTACATCTAATCTGCTGTTCCTGGCAGGTTCTGCTTGACAGTTAAGGCTCAAATCAAGCGGTTAGGAGACCTGGGTGCAGAATCGAAGTGTGTCTGTATGTTTCAGTTTGAGAATGAGTCCTAATGCTCCTCAGCAGCCTGCCATAGCACTGTACAGTTAAACTGCTCATCCACACTGATCACAGATGCACCATGCTGCCATATAAAGGCAAACAGTAGTGACTACAGTTTTTAAAAGTCCTGGCAAGGGTTTCCTCTTGAGAAAAAAAATGACATCCGTAAATGCTGCTAAATGACATAATGTCCACTTCTGTACCAACCACACAACTGTCAGGAGAGGAGGAAGGTCTCTCCTCACATGGTTACTGCTCTTTGACCCTTAAGGTCTTCATGGACTCAGCATGTTCCTCCGTGACTTGGCATGTCTGTCTGGCTCGCACTGATGATAGAATGTTTCCCACGCCAAACCATGTATTACACTTGGGTTGATCTCTGTAGTCTTAGAAGCGTTCCCTTACCTGTTTTCCTCCACCGGCGCTGATATACCAGGACAGGCTAAGGGGAGGTTGCAGCTTGAGACTATTGAGATCCACCTGCCGCTGTTCCCTCTCAGAAAGCCATACCTACCAGGTGGGGTCACTCCCCCACAGAGCGGAAGCTACTTAACCAAACTGTCCATATGGATGGTGGTCCTTAAAACTGGGACACTGTAGAGACTTGTAATGAATTTAATGGATAAGGATGGAATTATTTACATTTTATATTTGTCAACAAATCCCATTAATATAATATTAAATACTACCAGGCTTATCTTTTAACCTAGCAAAAACTAGTCATTTAATTTTATGTAACAGAGCTGATACAGTAATAACCCAGTACGTATACAATGATTTAAAGGGACACTTCACCTGCCAAAGGATGATTTGTGTATCGATTGCTTCCTCTGTTACAGTGAATTTGTGGAGAAAACTTAATCTTGCATGCCTCCACGGTTGATGAAGAACCATAAAATGAAATTCTCAATGACTTGAAGTCATAGGGATCCACATTTAGTAACAGCAAAACTATCAAAACATCCATTTCCAAACTCACATACAACTTGTGCAGTACAGTCCCAGTCTCAGGGGTTAGTTCAGGCCCCAGCAAGGTAAAATGTCAATGGAGTCTGGCTTTGAAGTGAGCATAGATAAGTTTCACTTTTAGCTCAGTTCCCCATTGGAAAGGGACGTCTGTTTAGGAAGTACTGAGCATACCACTGGATAAATGAGACTTGGATTATACTGCATGAGTTATGTGAGAGTTCGTGAACCCATGTTTTTATATAGTTTTGCTGTTGTTAAATGCAGACCCCTTTGACTTCAATTCATCAAGACTTTTCTCAGTTTATGGACTCTTTTTACCGTAGATGTGAGAAATACTTTTTTTTTTTTTTTTATATGAATTCAATGAAACACGGGGTGAGTAATGGATATACAAATGATCATTTGGGGGGTGAAGTATTTCCTCAAGTCAACAGCTGACTTTCTCAAGATCTGCAGAATTATTACTATTAGTGTAAAACTTTTAGCTTATTGTGAAGAAATTACATTAAAGGAACTTGCTGAAATGGCCACTCCAGCAATTTTAGTATTGTGTTTGTCTGCAAGAGACAGACTAAAAAATTATGGTCAAAATTGATTCAGCAAAGGCCTAGATATCCTCACCAAAAAAGAATAATCCTGTTGACATCATGGGGGTTATTTTCTCAGACTTGACAAAGCTCCTCCAGAGCCACAAATGAAGTTATACAACTGTTTTCAGAGGCTGAATAGTACTCCTGGTGACTATAAATTTGACACAGGTGTGAAATTTGTTGGAGTTCCTGTAATGTTTTATCAAAAATTCTATGATCTCTACAGATGTCAGCCATGTTGGCAAATGGCCACCATCGTTGTTGAGGAGTTTGGGGTTGCATTAAAAGTAGATTTGTTGAATACTTGTGGCTTATTTGAGAGGGTAAAACATTACAACCAAGTTGGTGGAGATGCAGTGTCCAGTCATTATTCTCTCTGTAGTAAAAATGGAGAATTCTGTCAGCTCTGCTCTCTCCATTATTCTGTGATTTGAAATGGTGCAAACCCTGAGAAAGCCCACAGTCTCATCTGACTCAACAGACGGAGCCGTTACTGCAGTCTCCAGATGTGTTCTTCTCTCATGGGATACATTTCCACTGGTGAATATAAATCTCCAGGGTACATGTTGTATAAATTGCAATTTACTAGAATGTTCATATTAGATTATAAGATATTAAGGGCGATGAATATTATATTGTATCTTTATCGAGGGTTACAAATAAAGTTCCCATGGAAAATATTGAAAACCTGTATTGTGTGCTTCTTGTGAATTGGACATGAATAAAAAGTAACTGCAGAAATGATTTTGCTGTGATAAGTTTATTGCTCTTCTTTTTTGTTGTATACAGTGATGTTTTTGGATTTTTTTTACAATAGTAAAGCAAGTCAGTGGCCAAGCAACATGGAAGCTTCTGTCAGACGTGATTTTTTTTTTCCTTATGAGGGAAAGTTATTGCAACATGAACCCACCTGATAAAAAAGGCCAGCAGATATTCTTACAACAGAGGACAGGAAGTGAAGAATATCAGCTTTGCCATATATTAAAGATGTGTATTCGTAGCCTACATGTAACTAGTTAACAAGTGCAACACTTCATAAGTAACAGGAAAAAAGCAATATTTGGTCTCAACCAAACACAGTGAGACCTGTTAACAGAGGACGTAACTGTAAATGGAAGACATGTTTTGGCCGATGCACTTCAAATAGGTTGACATTTTGGAAAGTACCGGTTTCATGTATTTGCTTTTGTGCCAATGGTTAGATGAGAAGACCGATAGGCCTACCACTGTCATATTTGTGCAGGAAGCAAAATTTGTATTTTTAGGATGGCGAAGGCACGACCTGCCTTATCGCTCTATGACTGGCTAGCACTCATTGCCTTCCTTTGTTGGGTTGGTTAATTTTAGGCAAGAGGAGTGGGATTGGTTAGGGTAAGCTGCTTTCACACCACCTGATGGGGAGTCAACAGAGAGGAAGCGATGTTCAATTCGTAGGTAGGGATATTAAGTGTTTGCCGTCCATGCGCACACATACAGATTTTCACAGTGTTGAACTTCTGGCGGTTGCTTTGTGGCTTTGGTCGATCAAAATGCAGGCATTGCAGAACAGAAAGATGACAAAATGGAGGAGCTAATAATGCTGGTGTCTGAATACCCAGACTTTACGCGCTAGCAACTTCTAAGAACAACCAAAAGAAAATATCAGTGATTTTCATTGTCTTGCTATGTTATAAAGCTACAAGCTAGCTTGCACTGCTAGTGTTTACCAAAGCACCTGCCTGTCACCACAGCTGTGGATCATAGCAGCAGGAGCCACTTTTCAAAACACTTTGCTATTTGGGGGAAGCCTCTTGCAGGCCGACGGTTACCACCTGGCGGTTTGAAAGCAGCTTTAGTAAGAATGTGGGTCATGCCTTTGCCATCCTAGGAAAAAAAAAAAAAAAAAACATTGCGTCTGGTAAACATGAACACGGTTGGCTTAGCTTAGCTAGCTTAGCACAACAAACAGGCAAACTGCTAGCCTGACTGTAATAAGATCCACCTGCCAGGGCAAATAAAGCTCACTAATTAACACGTTATATTTCATTTGTTTAATTCGTACAAAAACCAAAGTGTAAAAACAAGTTTTGATTTTTAGAGGGCTTATGTGCTGGATTCATTTAAAAGATACGTGTTAGTCAGTGAGCATTACAGGTGCTAGCTGAGATAAATTTGACTAAGAGAGAGGCTGAAAATGTTGCCGAGAACAGGGAGGTACATAGGCTTGTGGCCTACTGTTTCACAGGCAGCAGTAAGTTAGCTAGCAGGCTAGGTGTTTCCCAGTTTCCAGTCTTTATGTAAGCAAAGCTAATACAGTGCCCCAGGGATGACATTTTTCTGTTGGCCAACATAGAAGTTAGCATTGCACTGGTTCCCCCTGCAAAAAGGTCTATGGGATTTTTGCATTGGATTTTGGATTATTGCTGAAAATAAACTCTGTGACTAACAAATGATTATGATACTTGCACGTTTTGTTCAGCAAGATAATTTTCACAAATGAACACCACTTTTGTGATCATTGAAGTCTAAACGCAATCACCAGAAGTAAAAAGCTAACGTTGGCTATAAAGAAACTACACCATGGTCACATGAGCTGACATCACCACCATAACAAGTCTGTAAAGCTCTGTTTGGCATGGTTCAGCATGATGATCTGTAGTCTCATTTAGCCACTTGTTAGCAACCGCCTTTTTAAAAATACATAGAAGCTTAAACGTTCACGAGAGGGGTATTTACTGACATATTTTATGGCATAGAACAAAACGTCAAAGTCTCTTAGGCTTGTGGTAATCACAGACCTTATTTCAGGCATCTAACCAAAAACCCATTCAAAACCCCACTGACTTCAAGATGACGGAACCAGGAGTGCAACAGTGCTACCTTATTTGTGGGTTTTACGACTCATTCCTGGGGCACTCTATGGGCTGCAGCCAAATATTTAGTGTAGCCTATAGATATTAGAGTGGTATTGATTTTCTCATCTAACTCCCTCCTTGAACTTTTTACATGTGTTAAAAACACAAATACTGACCTAAACTAAAAACCATGAAGGTAATTTGAGTCTGAAATTCTCTCATTAGTGTAATTACTGTGTGTAAAGGCTGGCTCTGGTACACATTTATGCTGTGTTAACATGCAATATTCACAGTAAAGATCTGAATATATTACATTTTCCTATTCACAAGTGCTAAGAATGGACATGTCCACTTCATAGGATTCTTTAAAGAAAGTGATTTAAGTAAGCATGGCTTTTCCAAGTGGTTCCTTCACTTTGTATCACATTTTAAGAGAACTGATTTACTAAGAAATGTCCATGGTCAAAATGGCAGTACTGGAGTTTTTCCATTAAATCAAAGAGCCCCAATCTATTAGAAAGGAATGTCAGTATAAATACAGGATAAATATAAAAACACAAAATAAATAACTGTGGCCTGGGAATAGAAAGGGTGACATTTTAAGTATATAAATTTTCTAATAAGAAAAAACAGCAATTAAGTTGCATTTTTCATAAATATTTTTCTCTGATTTTGCTGCTCAAGAATAACTGATGTTGACTTATGTTGGCACTTTCTATATTAAAGGGAAAGTTCACTCAAAAATTGAAAAAAAAAAAAAGAAAAAAAAAACGTGTTTTTCCTATTACCTGTCAGGCCTTTTATTAATCTAGATTGTTTTGGTGTGAGTTGCAGAGTGTTGGAGATATCAGCCCTAGAGCTATCTACCTTGTCTCCAATATTCAGTTGGAGTTCAGCAGAAGAAGAAGAAAATAATTTCCTACATGAAACTGCTCCCAACAAGGTTTGTGGATTATTTTGAGTATCTGGGTGGGTAAGGATTTCTGGAACTGCTGTTGAGTTTTAAAATGTATTTTTTGTGGCACTTTGGACACCATAAGCTGAGTGCCATCTAGTTCCATTATATTGGAGACAAGGCGGTCATCTTTATGGCCGATATCTCTAACACTCTCCAACTCACACCAAAACAAACTAGACTGATAATACAGGCAGGGGGACAAATATGAATTTTTGAATTTGAGGTGAACTGTCCCTTTAATGTCTATCAACAGCTTTCAGGGGAATAGCACAGTACTAACACATTGAAAAGGGGAAACTGGTATAAAAAGATTGTAATAAAAAGTTGTTGGAATAAGGCACAGGTTTTTTGCCGATTAAAATTGATAAGACCAAAGGTTTCTCAAAGACATTCATTTCTCTCCATAATGTCATTCTGTGGATAACTACGCCAAATAGTGAAAAGAAAGTTGTATAAAAAAATCCTTCAAAGAAATGACAACCATTTCTACACACGTATTCTAAGCTCAAGCAAACTGTGACAAATGTGTATGTAGCTAGAGGTGCACAGTGAGATAAGTTTGTCATATTTACATTGTTTGATAAACTGATTACATAATACACTTGATTTGTGGTTTGTGTCTTCTCCCACACCACTGACAAAATATATGCAGACGTCAACTTGTCTCTGTCAGTACAGTTAAGATATTTACAAAATGGCCATACTAAGCAATCCAATTCACCTTGTAATTCCTTTCTTTTTTTCCAGTAATACAAACATAGACTCAGAAAATATACAATGATTGTCAAAATGTGTCTTCAAGTCTAGGTGGTGTAACACTGATATTGCATAAAGTGTTGGTAGAACACTGTAATCTCGTAATCCATTATCTAGAAAATCCTTCATGTGTCCACTGTTATACTTATTTGGTAGTTGTGCACATCGTTGTCCAAAAATGGCAAAGAACATGTTAAAAAGCACCTAGTCCTTGGATTCTGGGTATGATGACAGCATGAGAAGCTCATTTCTATGAAGTAGAGAGAATAAGTCAAAATATAATTCTGTAGTTCGACTTTTGACTTAGCCGTCAATTTTTGAAGGTAGGCTTACAGTCTACTTAATGTTACATCCCACTGATTTATGACAAGAGGCACATTCTGGCACTTGGACTAAAGCTGTTAGAAGTCAATGTTTCTTTGGTATGGTCATGGCTGATATCAGCGGTCCGTACAGCTACTTGGCGGCTGATGGCTAGCACGTTGCTTTCACCAGTGTTCCAGGTGAAGGTCCATGGCAGAGTTTAAGTTAATGTCTGTGACATCCAGGAACTCTGTGTTGAAGATGCTGGGCCCACTGGGTGGAGCAATACTGAAGGCTGTGGCCGAGCTGGGTGGCGTCAGGTCCAGCCACTCCATCGTCTCCCATGGCGTCTCGCTGAAAGTCATGCTGACCATTCCCTGCACCTCAGGGACGGTGGACACCTTGGTGCCGATGGGCGACAGAGGGGTGTCCATCAGATCTCTGTTGGTTAGAAGTTTGTCCTGCTGGGGATGGTGAGGGTGGCGGTGGTGGTTGTGGGGGCTGCCATACCCTTCGCCATCTCTGTTCCCTTCGTCTTCCTGCCCCCCGTCCTCAGTAGGCATTTTGAGAAGGGCCACCTCCCCTCCCCGGCCAACTGGACTTCCCAGCAGATTCTCCAGGTGGCTCTCAGTGATGTGATTGGCTGAGTGGTCGTAAGGGAGCTGGCTGGGGGACAGGTGTTCGTAGTGTCTGTGGAACCTCGGGATGAGGAGGCCGGGACACCCTGGGGACACAGTAATGTGAGGCACAACTTTGGTTACAGAGGCCCTCTCCCTCTCTTCTCTGGCGTTAGCTGGCATCTCTTGAAGAGAAAGAGGAGAGGAGGGAGGGTCACAGCAGGTACTGGGATCCCATACCAATGTGTGGGGCACACTGTGTTGACAGTGCACTTGG